CTTCTGGAGATTTAGAAGAGCAGGAAACTGAAAGGGAATTGCTTGACTTGGGAAATACCTCTTTTATGACTAAGGAAAACCACCTAGTGTTCATTACTTTTCTGTGATGAAGTACTTTTAATTCATGTCAGCCTGGTCTGTTTTTCTTCCTCCTTGTCATGAAAGAAAATAATATGTTACACAATAGGTGAATCACACTTTGTGTACAGTTAACTATTACAAATGTGCATATATTGTCAGAAATATAAATATAAATAACATCAAGGATCTGAATAATGTCAATACTGCTAGCTGAACTACATGAGATTTAGTTATAACTAGTTTTATCTGTCTAACTAAAATTATTTTTTTTTCCCTTGGAGTGTCAACGTGAATTATGGGGAAACAGTAAGTCATATCTCCCTATCTCCCATATCTTCTAGCAAACACTGTAGTGAAAATTAAGGAAGGAAATCTTCTTTTGTCATAATTACATAGGCATGGTCAATGTTTGATTTCAGAATAAAATTTAAGGAGAACTCTGCACAAAGCCATGCTCTAAAAGATTTTTGCCAGTTGTTAAATATACTGAATTTTTCTGTAAAATATGCTTTCAAAAATCAAGTTATTTCTCTAAAATATGCTTCCATGGGTTTCACTCAAAAGTAGGATTCATTTTTTCGCACCTGGCTGGTAAATGTGACTGTCTTGATTTGTGTTTGTCACTCTGTAAAGGAGATAATTGTTATAGTCATTATAGCTTATATTTAGCACATCTGAAAAGAAGGGTATAAATTCAGAAAAAAATTAATCATACAGTTAAATGAATTATTTCTGTTCTGTGTACTTCTTATGTGGCCTTGGTGTGCACAGCAAGCCATTTATACCCCACTACCTTGGGTCCATCTGCTTAAAAGAAAGAAAAAAGAGAAGGCAGACAAAACCAATGAAATAAAACACTTGAAATCTTTTCTACCCTTGTTGGTTTTTGCTGTAGGCTATCTAGCAGGTAAAGAAATGATCATGTACAATTTTAAGAAAGCACAGCACCCAGACAGCACAGCACCTAGACACTGCCTCTGGGCAAGGTTGCAATGCCAACAAGAGGAGGCCAGACACAGGATGACTCTATGTTTGCAATCCTGGGCATGTAAATGTGAAAAATGCCTGCTAACAAAGTGTGCAGTACCCTGGGGAATGCAACTCATGCAGAATAGAAGTTGTCAAGAAGGTGGTGCAATATTACCATGGTTCCTGCTTCTTTGCCTTTCCTAACAAGAATCAGATATACACGGAAGTTTTCACTACAATAAAGTTGCGAGAACTAAAAAGTAGTATCAGGTTCCTGCATCTGGCTTAGCTTTAGAAGTGGAAATATAGTAATGGGATAAATAAAAGGGCCACCCACTATAAAGTGTGGGTGACCAGTATAAGGAAAAAGCACCCCCCCTTTAATGCTTATTATTCCAAAGGCTGTTACAAAGAAATTGCTCTCAGTCTGATGTAGTGCCAGACACAGGGGATTAAACTTTTTAACGACTTTTTGTTGACCAACATCCAAGACATCTAGGAGATTCTGTAACTCCACATAAAGAATATTATTTTCAGACATGAAGAGAGTGCTTGAAAACATAAATTCAGAAGATAGGATAAAAGGTAGCAGGGAAAAGGATAAATGCATGTCTCAGCAGAAGAACAGTTTATTTTGAGGGTGGAGAACAGATTTAGAGCTAATTCCATGTTAAATGCCAGAATTCTAGATGATTGCTTGCTAACAATAACTAGAATAGGACAATGTCCATTTTGGCTTGATTCAGAAATTGTGTGGGAATATCCTTCTTTCTTTCTTTTCCCTCTCTTTTTTCTTTCATTTCTCTTAGATTAGGTCGGCATTTTTCCCTACAAATTAGATATTTTCTGAAATCCTACTGTTCTGTCTCTTTATGGTCCCTAGCACTGAAGGAGGTCTTGCTTGAAGATGGAAAAGGGCCCAAAAGATTGAGAAGAGGGTGTAGTTGGAGTTCAGTGTCTGGAATGAAAGATGGTCCCCCTGTGACTATTGCAGACTGAAACTAAGAGCAGTCTCTACTAACTCAGGGGCTGCAGGCATAAATGTAGTCTGAAGCCACCCTGTTCTTGCCTCCTGGACTGCATGTGCTCGCTCTCTCTTCTGAGAATTGGGGTCTGGATTTGTTTGAATTAATAGTGAAGTCATTACACTATGTAAATATGTTAGTTTTCATCTGGTTTTACTCACAAGCTATTCTTGCCTTGCTGTGCTGTTCCTGTTTTCTTGTTTGTGCAAAATTAACCAGGAGCATTTTAAAAGAAAAGAGGGGGAAAGGGTGAATAGTGTTGAAACCTTGATTGCTACGTTATTTACCACAGGCTGAAGTGGTAGGCAGTTCCAACTTAATCATATAATAAGAGTACAATGACATTTTTAATGGAGCTTTTAGGAATCCTTTCCCTTTGTCATCTTTGGCCTTCTTTGTGTAAACTGTGATAATTTGCCTTAATAGCCTAGTATTACAATTTTTCATTTTAGTCTTACTGAAGAGTCAGCTGAGCAGCAGCATGAGTCTAAGCATTTCACAGAGGTTGCCTGTGCCCTCAGGAGGCTGTGACCAAGTGTTTTCCCAGGACAGCTGGTTTTCTGCAGGTAGTCCCACTGCATAAGCACTGCTGGCTCCTCATCCAAGCACAACTGCTCCTAGAATGAGTCAGGATGAGGAGCTACTCTCATACTGTACTTCTTCCTGTTGCTATGAATAGGAAAGCCCCCAGCTGCATTATTGACTTGTCCTGTTTCTCAGTCTCACTCATGCAGACCAATTGTAAAAACTGAAGAAATACTAACTTTTTTTGTTTCTTTCTTTTTCCTTAAAACTCATGGACTTCTGTGGCAATGCCTCTGAATCATCTGTGGTACAAGAGATTGGAAAATGGGAGCTGGTGCAAGTACTCCAGAGCTGGTTGGTTGTTCTGACATTAAAGCTGGAATGATGGAATTTTGATGTCTGATTTCAATTCTTTGTAGGTGCTTTGGCATTCTCAGCTCCCCCTGCAATGGAGCAGTCACAGCCATCATATTGCAGAGGGGCTCACCAAGAACAGGGAAAGAGAGAAGGTGTTCAGAATATCAGATGACAGTGGTGGTTTCTGATGCATAGAGGAAAGAACTGGGGGTTGGAAGAGGCATGAGTCAGGTGTTCCCACACAGATGACCATCAGAGAAGGAGACAATAATGCTAACATTCAGTAATGATGTTAGATTGTGGTCAGCAGTCTGCTGAGGCGGAGACTGCAGTTCATCCTTCTCAGACATATGACATCTGGCTACCTTTCCAGCTGCCACAAACTCATGTTTTCAGGGCTGCCCTTTTAAATATGAGAAGCAGAGAAAGCACATTTTGAAAAATGGTGTCTTAAATGCTTTGTATTCTGCAATGCAAAGTGCGTTCTGTAAGGAATACCAAAGTAATTTCCAGGGTGAGGATTGCAGATGCTGCACAAATGTTTATAACCTGAAAGCATTCTCTGTCCAGGCAGTGTAGCAGAAAAAGGAGAGTTTTTGCACTGACTTCAGTAAGACAGATTTTCCCCTTGTTTTTCTAGAATTTGTGAATGTTTAAAAACAAAGGCAGTTTACTTGCTTAGCCGGAATACTACAGAAGGTAAATCTTGCTCTGTATACATGCTTGCAGAGATGGCTCCCAATAAAGGCTCCGCCTTGACAGTGTGCCATGATTTGTAGATGTTCAAACCCAGGTGTTAAACAGTAATTTGCTGCCAGTTTCCAGCAGTGTTATTCTACACCCAACCACATCATCTGAGTATTTCCCTCTGGTTTAATGCCTGGTACTTCAGGAGCCATACGGTCCGCTAGAGCTGTTTTAATCTGGATAGTATTCTTAGTATTACAGCTGCTCATCCATTGCAGTAAATGTGTTGATCAAAAAGCCAGAAGACTCTCATGCTGAAACGGATGATAAATAGCCAGTTAGAGACAAAACTAAAAAGAAAAACCATCAGAGAAGAAGTGGGGAAAAGGCAGAGATAAAAGGGCAAGAACAGTCTGCTGAAAAGACTGGACATAGAACAAAGCATGTGTTAACAAACCTTCATTTTTTGAGCAGCCTTTGGTGATGCATTTGAAAATGACATAAAATCAAGACTTGGAGGCTTCCTGTCATATTGACTTAGAAAGACACTGTTGACTTCAGAGATTATCTAACATTGTTTTGATGCTGCTGCTGGTGGTTCACCAAACAATGTGAATCGGACACATTGAGATAGAGCCTGTAAGATTTGGGGTCAAACTGAATGTTCCCCAAATTTTTGTACCTTCTTTAATCATATCTTCTGTAAAGTCACAGTTCTACAAAGCAGGAAGCCACCTTAAAATTCAAGCAGAGTTGGTGGCTCGCGATCTCTCCAAATGTTGAGGAGGAAATGCTGCTATGAAATAATCATGGTCACAATACCAGGTAGACAGGGAAAAGCTGAGCACCTCAGTATGTACACTGTGCATGGGGCAGGAAACATAGTTTGCTTCCTTTGAGACGACAAGATTCAGCAGAGTGATGGACCTAAGGGTTATAGTTTGTCTTAAAGATGGGATAGAATAGGAAAACTCGTAGCTGTGCTGCCTCAGGGACAATAATGTATATGTTGTATTCTGGAGCAAGTTTGATGCTGTTCTGTGATAAACAATGTACATATTTGTGCATATTTTGGGCATACTGTGCTGCCCTTTAAGTTACTTGAAAATGTAACCAATTTCTGGTTTTATCTAAATGAGGAATTGAAGGGAATTAAGTGAAATAAAAATTTAAGGTGGATTATTCTAAGTGTGTTAAACATTTGGGTTTATACTTTAGTGACACATGTAAAATGCACTAAAGTATGGCAGGTTTAATTGAGATAATAGTATGCTCCCAGAAATTTTGCTGAACCACCTGCAGTCTTTCAGATTACCTTCTTCCATATGTCCTTCTGAAGCCAAGGCCAGCTTTAAATAGACACTACCTTCTCCCAGTAGGATGCAAAGTGTAGGTAGTTCTGTAAGAGAAGGTGTAGATTTATAAGCTGTATATTAACAGGTTGGAGTGATCTAGATAGTGTAGACCTAAAATGCTTGTTGAAATTCATTATGTGGGCTGAGAGACCCATAGGGTCACATGTGAATGAAATATCATTCAGGAAAATCCTTGGAGGTTTTTTTATGTCTGCGCTGGGAGAGTCACCGCTAGCACTGACTAGTGCTGTGTGAAATAGGGCAGCACAGCTCCCCTGTTTATTTGGAGGTGTTTGACTCTCTTTCCACCAGATGCATCTACACACTCCCCCTGAGCACAGCTCCCTCCACAACTTCCTAGTGCTTGCAGAACAGGATGTTGTTTTCCATGGCATTATTTTGTGGACAAGGAAAACTTATGAGAGGACCCCTGTGAGTTTGCTGATACAGGGACTCAGTTCAGAGGGACCTCAGTGAGATTTGTTTTCTGGTTGTTAAGATCTGAGTTTTCTTTGGCTCTAGCATATCATGAGAGCTGAACTACTGCAGGTCATAGAAATGTTCTTTCCCTGAGAAAGGGAAAGAAAAGGGTGGTCTAGCAGTAGATTGAGAATTCCTTTGAAAATGAATATTTATTGTTTAAAAATGTATGCTTCTGGGACCATTATCCACACAGTTTGAAGGAATGATCTTTGGAAGCTGCAGTATATGTACCCATGATGTAGCACTCTGTGAATCAGACCTCATGTAACAGCAATGTTGTGTTAAATTGAAGAGTTAAAAATAAATTGTCTCAAGAAGAAAGTGCTTGTACTGAATCTAGAGGCTGAATGTGGCACCTTTCTCTTTAGGTCTGGCAGAGAAGTGGGTCAGAGTTATATTATTTTAACAAAAAGGAGGTTTGGTAAGAAAAAATGAATCATTGAACTTGCTATGGCAACTGAAAGAAGTAAAACTGCTTAATTGCAACTACTGTTAAGTTTTTATTTTAGGAAGGATCTGTGCCACAGCAGTCACTGAGAGTTGAGAGTTTCTGGTTTCTCAGTCTGAGACAGGATCCATGTCTGGAGCTGTCTGAGAGCACAGCATGATTTCCTCTGTGGGATAAATTAACCATGGCTTTGTGCTTGCACACAGTGAGATCCTTTGCTATCATCTGTGCCTGTGCTGAGCTAAGAATAGAAAAAAGCAACATCAGCAGTGCTGTGGGAAAAATACATCACTCCAGATGGCTGCTGATAAACACTTTTTTTGTTTGGGATTAATAATAAAATAGTAAATAATGGTCATTTCTCATCCACAGCTTAACTTACATGTCTGCTTAGCAGTTAGGAGAAAGGCTGAAGTTTGTCAAAAGTGGATTTATCTGGATACACCTGAGAAGCTATCAGTAAGTAGTTTAGTTGCCTTGTAGGGCAAAAGACAACCCACAAAGAGCTGGGAGTTTGCTTTGTTTGTTGGTTATTAAAAGGCTTTGAATTCCCCTCTTACCCCCTCCGTTCTGCTTTATCACATTCATGTGGTGCTGAATAAAGAGCTATTATTTCCATTGTTACTAAGGTTTGTATCCTGTGAGATCATGTTAGGATTTCTCTCAGACTTCTGAGAGAAACTTCACTCTGTCTCCAAAGAAGCGAGTGGGACGAATCCCACATGTGATGTATTCATTTAGCTCTACAGGCCACATGTTGCATACAACTGTCCCACCAATGTTGATATGTTAAAAGCCAAAACAAATTTGAGACCCAACTCAGAATCAGGCCCAACTGGGGAGCCAAACAATGACTTGCATTCTTTGTAGTTAGTCTTGACAGCAGGCTACTTGGTTAAAGCATATGTTTGCATTTCCTAATTTATTGGCATGCTTTTAATTTGTATTACTAATTCTTCAGAGAAAGAGAAAAGAAAAAGAAAACATGGCACCCCTGTGGCTATTTCATATGTTTGCTCCATGGGGATCAAGTCCTTGTTCTGAAAGATAGTTCTGTCCTGTCCAAAGCAGGATGGGTAGGAGAGACTCTCACCATGACTGAGCCAGTTGGTTGCTTCATTGTGCCTGATGGCTTTGGAGTATTAAGCAATATGCCCAAGACTAAAGGCAAACAAGCTCTTTTGTTCATCTCTCAAGTGGAGGTTGGAAACTCTGTCCTCTTGCCTATAGTTCAGGACAGTTTTGATCATCTAGCCAGCATACTGGCTACAGAGAGGTCAGCTTCCACCTCCTTCACAGTAATTATTTTAAAATTTGAAAAATTGAAATAGAGAAAATAACTTTTTCTCCTTAAGTAACAAGTGAGCAATAAACAGTTGCAGTACCGATTCATTTGTGGTAACCTGTCTCATAGACATTGTACGAATGTCAAAGATTGTGTAGATGTGATATAGAAAAGATTTTGGCAGCAGAAAATGTCTGTAGTATGAGGTAGCACAGCCTAGTGGCACAGGTGTTTGCACAGGATATTAATAAATAGGGATAGTATGTACAAGACTGAGTAAGAGTCTAAATTAGTTTTCTGACATATGGGTACCTAGGAAGCAAGGCCATTCCTGGTTAATGTATGTGTCCATTTCCTTGAGTCCCCTGTCTCACCTTTGCAATATAGCTACTGCCTCTTTGCCAAGGGAGAGAGGATGATGAAGGACTGACCTGGTAGCTCTGGAGAGCTCTCACTTCTTGGCTGTACAGCTGGTTGTAGCTTTTCTCCTCTTCTGCTCAGTCCCCACTATCATCAGGCGATGATTGTATGGACCAAATCTGGCAGCGTATGCAGAACAGTAAGTGCAGTGGTACTGTCATTTCTGTGGTACATAAACTGTATCTGTCTTACTGAGTGCTGCTTGGCATCTGCAGTGAAAGGCTAATGGACAACCTCCATGCTGTTTATTCTGCTGTGAGGGGTAGTAGCTATGATTTTCTGCCAGGACTGACTCTGCACTTGGATTTTATGATGTATTTTTTTTAAAGTTTATTACTTCTGGGGGAATCACTACTGATATCTGTTCCATCAAAACACCTATTTGAGCACAGCTCCTCTCAGTGTTGAAGGTGGGTCTGAAGCCAGCAGTGTCTTGACTACTTGTGCTGGATAAGTGATGACATGGTCTAGGTAAAAATGCCAGTGGCTCTTCCTGCCTTTCACTGTCTTGATTAGCTAGTACGGTGTGGAGTACTTCAGCATAAAAACAAATGAGACATCATAATACGTGCAGATGAGAGCCTGGTGACTAAGGCACTGCCTGGGAGTATTGTCTTCAAATATTTGCTGGAGGCCATGCTGAAATTCAAGACCTTATCTCCCAAAGCTCAATAAAGTATGTTTGCCATCAGTCTTCTCACCCTTCAGCACATTGTAGCATCTGTCTTACTCTCCCCCTGGAGTGCTTCTCCATTACATTTTATAGTGCCAGACAGAGAGACTCAAACTGTTTGACTTCTTAGCACAACAGTCTCACCACTTAATATTGCTACAGCTTGCAGTGAAACTCTGTGGTGTCGATAAAATATATGTGATAGCAAACGATCCAGCAAAAATATCATTGAGGAAAGGGGCTAAGAGCTCCTCTGTCAAAAGGGGAAGACAAAGGTAAACATAAACCTCACTGCTGCATGATTCTCAAATCATGGGAATGACATTACCCACATAGCCAGAAAATACAGATAGTTCCTTATGCAGTGTTCCTGGGAAGTTAACATAAAAAGGAAAATCTTAGTGCTTGGAATGACTTGTTCAACTATAAGAATCCCCAATGTTTGTCCTCTATCCTCTGCATAATTTTCCTTGAGTATTTCTATTATGCATTCATGAAATTTTGAATATAAATTCAGCTAGGAAAGAATATTCTCTTTCTCCAAGAGAAAAGTTTAACATCTCTGTGTTGTTGTGACCTGACTGGTAAAGATTAGTCTTGGTGGACTGATGCAGGTGACATTTGGGCACAGCACAAGCAACACCCATTTCAATGTCTAGCCTGAATCCTCCAACATTGTGAAAATCCCTTTGCTGTACAGTTTTGGACAAGTAATCAACACTATCTTTTATACAAGGATTGTAATGGCTAATTAGAATGGCTGAGGAAAAACCATGTCAGTAAACAATGCTCTTAATCAGACAACAAATTCTAAAAAGTGACTCATTATCACAGGCAAATCTAGTTCATGTCATGCTACGGGTGACTTGATTGCCTGTAAGCGGGATAAAAAAAAAGATTGTTTAAATGCAGCTTCAGGGAGAGCTATGTATTTTATCTCAGTTTCATCTGGTTTCCCATAATATCAAAGCTGTGCTTAGTGGATGGAGATTTACAACCAGAAAATGATACGTGTAGCTGAGGAATGCGAAGGGATGATGTGCCTTATAGAATTAGTTATCATTGCTGGGGAAGTAGAGCTGGTTTACAGCTTGCTTCTTCCCTCTCCATCTGGGACTGATCTGTGTCTTTGTGTTGTATATAGGAAATGTTCTCTACAATTCTCTGAACGTAAAGACTTTGTTCCAGGCACTGTGGTGCAGGAGATTTTGGAAATCTTGACTTATGCATAGATAATAGTTAACATGCACATTTTTCCATGTTTTCTTTACCCTGTATTTTGAAGAGGTGTACCTAGATTGACTCAAGTGACAACAAAGGAATAATTATAGATGCATTTCCCTCCTGGTAGCAAAGGCTAAGAACACAATATATTATTTTCTTTTATTTTTCTCTTTCTATAATGAATGCTACACGGCAATAGAAATTACTCTGCTGAGAGCAGGAATTATGTCAATTCTAATGAACGTCTAGTGACTAGGAAACAGACACAAGGTTATAAAGGCATTTTTGTTTTAAGGTCCTGATGATTGATAGCCAGGCTATAAATGGATAGTGATTTTGGCAGATCAAAATAGTTGGTGGCAGCAGGCATTTGCAAGAGTGTTTCTAGTATGGCTGGCTGGTAACTGGTCTTTTGAGTGGACCTGTTAGTTATTATCTAAGCTACATGTAACAGACTTCTTTTTTTGATGCGCTGCAGTCATTTGCCTTAGGTAGGTCAATTTTGGCTTATTGTAATTCAGAAGTATAATTTTTATTTTAGAATGGGCTCTAGATTGGGAAGAAAGGCTGGGTTCTGTTGATTTTCCTAGCAATTTTTGAAGTTGTCTTTTATTACTTTTATCATCTGTCAAGGACAGAGCGCAGAGCTGACAATTTAGATGCGTATCTTAAAATATCTTTTCCATGTCACTCAGCTTAAAAGCCAAAAGTAAAACAATCACTAGATATGGTATGTGAGAGCATTCATTAGCGCCATTCAGGATCAGGGAACTCTTTTTTTTTTTTAAGAAGCTATTTGAGGAACCAAAATAAAACTGCAAGTAGGCTTCTTGCTGACAAGTTGCAGGTGTATGCCACATGCCCATATTGGAAAAAAGATGCGGTTATGAAGGTCTTGATGACAGACAAGGGTCTAAAATGCCTTCATCTCCAGGTTTTAGCCAGTTCATCTGTTTTTTATTTGCATTTCCTGCAGCTAGCAGAGTTAGTATTTTCCAAATTCAGTATAACCATGCACAGGTCTATATAAAATGGCTTTTCTTTTTTTTTTTTTTTGCATTGTAAGGATCATAGGCTAATAAGGTATAATTTAAATTAAGAAAGTCTTACTTTTATAGTAACTATATAATAAATTTTCAGTCAGTTTTATTTATTAGTTTTGGAAAAATGAGGGAAAGGAGTGATGGGATTGAGAAAAGAACAGTTTCACTCCACTTTGATAAAATAAGTAGAATATGCTTATGCCTAAAGAGTACCAAAAAGGTATTTCTATTGGTATCTTATTGGTACTTCTAGCTTAAAAGATCTGGCCTTCTTTGGTTTCATCCTCTTGAGGAAATGTCCATTCTTAAGGCTAAAAGACTTCCACATAGTTTGGATTACTCCAAACAGCTGCACCCTGGAAAAATTCTCAAAGGCACATATTCAGAGGGCAGAAGTAATGAGGCAGCAGCATTTGGGAAATATCCAGCCAGCACTTTTGGTACTGTAAAGTAAATTTTGACAACCAACTCATGAAGTCACATGAGAAATGGCATCCCCTCCCACTACTGACATGAGAGAAATATGTTAGGTTTTCTTTGAAGATCTCTTGTTTCTTATGTGATTCTCAACAGAATCACATGAAGACTGATAAACAAGAGTTTCTCCATCTAGAGAAATTACTTCCAAAGTGCACTCTTAAAGATTTGGAAGTTTTTTATTTTCTGAGAGAAATATAAGTCTTGATTTCAAAAATTATTACAGAAAAGTAATAATTCTACACTGGAAATTAGTTGGGCATTTTTTTTGGGGGAGGAACGATTAATTAAAAAATAATTTTGAACAGCAATAGTTTTATTTATTTGAAATACTGGAGAAAATTAGTTGAGGAAATGTAAACATAATTTTCCAGGAAGTGTACAAAATTTATTGTCATCTTTTTTTATTTAAACAAATTCCTCAAGAATAATTTTGAGGAATGGAAAAAAATCTGTAATAAATTTTACAGGAAGTAAAATTAGATTCAAACAGATACCACAGTTGTAGCTGTGTGGGAGTCAGCAGAAAGCATCCTGGAATGTGGCAGTGTGTGTTATTATGTCTCTTTCAAGAATCCTCTCTTTTCCTTTTGTAGGAATAAAGTTTTCTTTATCTTTATTGGAGAATGCAGTGCTTTTGCCTTTTTTTTTTTTTCTTTTAAAAGTGTTTTCCTGTGAAGTAATGCTGGCTTTGATGAATAGAGAAGAATTGTATACCCATGTATCTGCTTGCAGGGAATTATATGTGTAAGTTATTTTGTGCTCTATAATACATTCCATGCTGCATACCATAGGGTGCTGTTTAGCAGGTGGCAAGTATAAGGAGTATACTGAGACCAGAAGTGAATGAAAGGTTATCAAAGTGAAATGCTGACCAGTGATGTTTATTCACTTCCAAGGAGTCCCACCGCTGTGGGCCAGGGATGAGTGGTGAAGTTAGAGACATTTGAATGAGTGTGATGCAGATACTCATGGTGACAACACTGAGCTTAGTGATTATAAACCAGTGTGTATGACAATTGTCAAAGGAAGAATGCCTCCTCAGAATTTTAAATGAAATGTTATCTATTGTAATGTGTGTTTTGGTATTGTTACTGGCTTTCATGGCTGTGTTGATTATTCATTGTGGAGTTTTAAGCTCTTGCCTATGAATCCACAAAAAGGTGTATTCTCTTGTGCCCACATATGTTTGAAATAAGGAAAGTTGAAACCATGAGTAAGCAGGTTCCATCTTTTCTTTAAGCAATGACTAGCAGTTGTGTGAGCTTAAAGATTGCTGTATAACTGCAGCGGAGCACCCCTAGTTGCATCTTCTTGCCCAGTGAATTGTTACCTTAGCTATTGTTTTACTTTGGAGGTTTCAGCAGCGGTAGTTTATTTTCTTGGTTTTTGTTTGTTTGCTTTTTTTTTTTTTTTTTTTTTTTTTTTTTTTTTTTTTTTTTTTTTTTTTAAATGGATTGCGTTCATTCCTTGTGCAAAGGAGTGCCTCACTGTAAACCTTTCTCTTCCCCGCCAGGCCTATCCTTGCACTAATGACAAGGAATGCGAAGTTGGGCGGTACTGCCACAGCCCTCACCAAGCCACGTCTGCGTGCATGCTGTGCCGGAGGAAGAAGAAGCGCTGCCACCGGGACGGGATGTGCTGCCCCGGGAACCGCTGCAACAACGGTACGGCTGCCAGCTCCGGCTTCTCTGCACAACACCAGCCTTCTCGACATCATCTGTTTCTAGCAACAGTATTTTTTCCTGGGTGACAGCTCTTCTTGTTCTAAGCCAAGAACACTTAATTGTCTACTTCATCCCACGCTGCCTATTTTTCTTTAATAGTATTTCTATGTTTAGGGCTCAGGTACTACCAGTATTTTCTTATATTTTGTGGTGGAGAAACACAAAAATGCTGCTTAAAATCACAGCTCTACATTCAGTGTGCTTTGGTTCATTGGAAGACTGCACAGAAGTCATATTTTAAGGAAGCAAAGGAGATTTAATGAATCCTGAATCTACCCTCCCTGAGGAGATTTATAGCCATACTGTTTGCATTTCCATGGAGACTGGAGAGAGATGTCTGTAAGAAGCTCTCCAGGGGCTCAGACCATAAAGCCAGAGTGACAGAGAGACTGTCTGACAGTGAGTGAAGCAGACCTGTGGTGAGGCTAAGTGCCAGGAGCCAGAGGTGAATGTGTCATTAGAGCTTAGCTTCACTGAGGCCAAACCCCGGTGCTTTCATCATCCTGACCTGGCCAGTCAGTGCATGCCTCTCAGCTGCTTTTTCTCTTATTCAAATATTTGAGTGGTTGTCTTTATCTTGCAGGTATTTGCATACCAATGACTGAAAGCATCCTTACTCCTCACATCCCTGCTCTAGAAGGGCCACGCAACAAGAAGAATGGCCATTATGCGAGCAAGGATTTGGGATGGCACAACCTGGGGAGACCCCGATCCAAGCTGTCACACATAAAGGGTAAGATGACATTTGGACTGGACTGCTCTGTTCCTTTGTGACAAGAATCATGTTATTGCTGTTAAGATACAGCAGTGGAAACCAGAAATAGGCAGTAATTTCACAGGGAGTGAATGTATTGTGAGAGATCACAGCACAACTCAGAAAGTGATGTAATGTCAACCGACAGCTCCTGTGATTGAAACAGCATCTGCTTTCTTCTCTGTATCAGATGTGGACTAACAATCATGTTATCAGTTGTGCAAGACTGCAGACATCCTCCTCTTGTAACAGCCATGTAATTGAACACTTGTAATTCTGCTTACAATCCTGTAGTTGAATTTCTCCTTACTAAGTCTTATGGCAGGTCTCATGAATTACCCCCTTGAACTTTCCTAATTAATATTTTTTCTTGTGTTTGCATCCTTCAAATAGCCACAGGTGGAAATACCACCTCTTCTTTTTGTCAGTTCCATTTGCATAAGTCTGCACTGAATCTGTACTTTCACATTTTAACATGAGATAAAATAATTTGATTGTTCTTTTTAGGACACGAAGGCGATCCCTGCCTACGGTCATCAGACTGCATTGAGGGACACTGCTGTGCTCGCCACTTCTGGACCAAAATTTGTAAGCCTGTGTTGCATCAGGGGGAGGTGTGCACCAAACAGCGCAAGAAAGGGTCCCATGGACTGGAGATTTTCCAACGATGTGACTGTGCCAAGGGCTTGTCTTGTAAAGTATGGAAAGATGCCACCTCCTCTTCTAAATCAAGACTTCATGTGTGCCAGAAGATCTGAATGAGGATTGGGAAGATATTAACTGACTGTGGCTTTATGTGCTTAATGCATTATGGCATGGCGGAAAAAGGGGACTGCAAATGAAAGTGGAATGCTAAAGTATCAATTAGAGTGTGAGTAGAAGTCACATCAAATGCATTTCTTTTTGAGCTGGTGGTAAACACAAATGTAGTTGGAGTTCACCTACCACGCAGTTCTCCTGTAAATAATTCTACAGTTTCTGGGGAATGCTAGTATGCAGACAAGTAGAGTGGAAATGAATGTCACTTACCTTGCTGTGTTGTCCCATGATGTTTCAGGGGTTCAGTGTTAGGGCTACAGTGGGTCTACAGCGAGGTAAGGATTTTCTACAGAAATTGTATACATTGTACTCCTATAGGAAGCAGTGCATGCCAGGAAGACTCATCTGTCAACACATCACTGCAGGTGTGAGAAATGGAAATAAAGTTACTGTGAATGTCTACATGCCCTCATTATTCAGGGCTGACATTCAGCAAGGAAGCACTCCTGCAGGACAAGAGTGCTATGTTTTGTGGGCCCTTATGAAGGAGGTGAAAACTGGCCATCCCAAAATTTCAAGAGAGCAGCAGTTTATCTTAGAGGAGGCATTTAAACAGAGTTTTGTTTCCTATACATGGGTAAATTGAAATGTTTATGTAGTTCAATGTCATAGTAAGGCACTTAATTGCTTGTATTTTTCTCAGTTTACTTCTAATATACATTGGGTTGAACAGATGAAGCAAATATGTGTGCATGCTGAATCCAGAATTATATACAGGCAGTTCCTCATTAGTCCTAAATATACTTTCCTTGCCTAAGCATTCTTGCATTATAGACATTTCCAAAAGAAATAGCAGAGTGTTGAAGTGCTTAACACGAAGAGCTTTGAAGTTGTTTCTCTATTGCTGTTATAATATATTCAACACCTCAACGTTTGTTGAAATCTTTCAAGCATAGTGCTACAAACTCAAATTTTACATCTTATGGCACTCTGCAGCAGTATAATGGATTTGTTCTCAAGACAGCAGAGAAGGAGTTGAGTCTTGTGAGTATCTCCTCTCCTGCAGAAGAGGATGTAAGAAGATGGCATGATTTGTTAAACATCGTGTGATGTCACAGCATACCAGCCTCCAGCATGTATTCAGCCTGAGAACTGGTGTCCTCTCACTCTGGAGTGTTCTTCCAGGAATGACAGAAATACATAGACTGTGGAAACAGCTGCCAACCCTACGTTGTTTGTGTATTGGTTAGAATAAGGACAGCCTCTCTCCCATGACTTGTCTCCCAGCTCTTTTCAAACCTATAAAGTTTTACTTATTTTCAAATATTCCTTTGTATAAACTTTGGTAAAGAGACTGATATTATTTTAAAGAAGTTCAATTCTGTAAGTGACCTACTGCTATGTTGTAATTACCCATTTATGATTACCCATTTTCATGTTCTATGGTACAAAGATAAAAAGATACTTTTCTGTTTATTCAGTTCTGCACAACATGGGTAGGCCAGTGTGTAGTTTTACTTTGAAGACCACATTGCCATTACCTGATATATTTTTCCACCAGTGAGATACTTTAAAGTTTTAGCTTGGCTACACTGCTTGATTCAGCCTTCCTAATTAGAAAACAGACCTCATCTTCATTGCCCTAATCTTTCATAAGAGTCTAAAGCAGAAGAGTATTTCACACACCTCCTTCCCTACTAGAAATAACTCTTCTTACTCCAGCATTTTCCAATGTCACTGAAACAGAAATAAGGTTCAGGAATTGCAAAATACTATAAAAGTCCAGGAACCAATTTTACAAGTTTTATTTACACTGACACAGCACATACTCAGAAGAGGAACTCAAGTGTTCTCATTGCTCAAGTGCTCGCTACATATAAAAGAAAATGAGCAAGGGGGTTGCAGAAATGGGGTCCCAGCATTTTTCAGCTCTTCTTATTTGGCCTACCCGCCATTTTGCTCTTGCAAAACGCAGTTATTTGTAATAATTTATTTACAGGAAATGTTTAATGAGATGTATTTTCTTATAGAGATATTTCTTACACAAAGCTTTGTAGCAAAATATATTTGCAGCCTGTTGAATTTAATGTAGAAAAAATGTATAATAAGATTAAATATATTAAATTTCTTTTCACATTCCACCCCAAGTATGTTACCCATATTCTTTTTCCTTACTTGCTACTTAAGAAGAGTAGTTATTTACAGAAAGACATGCAAATCAATTGAGAAAACAATCTTGTATCTTAGCTATGCAAGTAAAAACATCTGATTGTATTTGTGTCTGTGTGTAGGCTGAGTTCTGGTAAAGAATATGAAGGTCATCTTAAAATACCCAGACATCATTTCTACAAAACTGGTTTAAGTGACAACTACCTGAATGTTTCTCTTGGGCCGCTTTAACCCTAAGCACTCAAGAATATATTTTGAAAATAATGCACTTGGTTGTGTAATATAAAATCAACCAGGTTAAGTAGAAAAGGTATCCAGACACATTTCCTGGATAGTGATATATACCAGAGGGATTCATGCTGGATAAAGGTGGTATTCAAATTACATAGCATTTTGTTAGAGGCTACAGCATACAAATGCACTCCTGCAAAATCTATAACTAGCAATTCTGAAATGGCAACTTACAGCATTCAGCTCTAATAAGATGAAACAATCCATGTGACACAACTGCGAATACCATTAATAAAACCAGCAGAGTTTTGATCCCAGGAAAACTCCTGCAGAGCACAATAAATATTGCAAAATAATGCCTGTGGTTATTGAGCAATGGTCTTGATATCCCTGCTAGTTGTTTCTGGTAACCCTTTGCTCCAACAGATGTACATTTGGGGGATGGAATGATCTCCAAGTCACACAAGTGATTGTATAAAATGAAAAGGTTTAGCTACTGTCATTTGCAATATTTGATTGGTAGGCCTTTGAAAATTCCAACGCTTTTGACATCAACATAATAAAGTTGTGAGCATTTTCAGAGCCCAATGACTTCAACAAAGACTGCCAAAGCCTTCAGAGATTTCATCTGGGAACAAAAACAATAGGCACAGGCAGTTCTTTGCACACCACAAATGCTGAGCCACATAGCTGAACAGAGTAGCATGCGAGCAGTTTCAAAAGACTGAACTTTGGTTGTTTAAAAGACAGTCAGTCAATGTTTTGTGAAATATACATCAGTCTGAGAATAAAAGAACAGCTAAATTTTGGGATAATTGCTCTCACTCACTGTGTCACTCATCACGGGAATTAGAAATGTGTTTGGTTCAGTAACATTTCAGAAATCTGCTGTCATGACACAAGTACACAAGATGTTATTGCTGAACAATTCAAACCATTTTCCTATTAGCCTAGAATAGCTTCAACAATGCAACATCTCTTTGGAAATACTTACTAACTTTCCTAAAAATATGGATTTCTACTTTATAACTACATATATTTGATTCACAGTATAAATGTGGGTGTGTATCTATTACTGTACTATTTGCTTTGTCTCATTTTGTTTGCAACCTATAGTATTTATTATTTTAAACATTTTTAATTAAAACAATTAAAATTATTTATCTGCTTCTATAACAACACTTTCAACAGCAAACATCCAGCAACTGCCACCTAAACCAGAATTCACTGAAATTTAAGCCATCTTCTGCATATCCTGACTTTCCAGCTCATTGTCTCAGCAACAGCAAAATAGCCCTCACCAAACACTATAAAATATCTTGGGCAGAGGCTGAGAAGAGACATTCCTAAACTATTCCTTCCCTCTCTACTTTCACTTTAGAGCTCTGCATCATCACCCCCACTAGCAAAAGTAAGTGCTATCCAAGAAAGTTTGTATTTTTCATCCCTTCTAGTTTGCTTTCTTTCTAGGAAAGCCATTTAAGAAAGAGATCCTGAAGGTCAAACCCACAGAAACTCATATAACAGAGGCTCTAAGCTCAGGCTTTTAAGAGTTTTGAGATCTATCCTCTAAATTTCAAAAACTTGATTGCTAGGAGAATTAGGTATATATCAAAACCACATTTATAAAAAATAAAGAAATCTTGTTATTTGGTTTGTCACTCACATTTTCTGAAAAAAAACTGCCCACAGTGGTGGAGTAAAAGCAAACACTTCCTCCTCACCCAAGCAACTTTCCCTGTAGTCCCTGACAAAGGGAAAACAGTTGGTTTGTATTTCTTTTGCTCTAAGCACAGTGTACACAAAGGAATAATTAATTTTGTTTTATAATAAAGTTATGGTTTCTTACCTTGCTTACCAGTCTGAGGTATGATATCTTGCTTTTGCTGCATTAGACAGGAGTGAAGAAACAGTTAGCTTCAAGGTCTGTGCTCCCTCATTTAAATCCTAGTGTTTCACTGAAATAAACACAGACTTTCAGCTCAAGTGCCTTATCAGCTAATACAGTTTTTCACATGCTCGCCACTACCAAAGACTGCTACAGTACAACACAGACCCTGTATCCATTTTTACCATTTGTTTAGGTTCAACTTTACCTGGCTTCTATGAGTTACTGAGAAGCCCCAGATGTCTGCTGCAGCCCACTCTCACTGCTCTGCCAGCTCTTTTCTGCACAGCCCTGCTTGTGGCAGAAATGCAGGAGGTGAGGGGAAAGCACTGAAAAAGCCGGAGGTGGCAAGAGTGGGAGCCAGCCCAAAGCTTGAAACGGTGGGTACAGGCGGCAAGCTAACTCACAAAAAGTAGTTAGATGCTGTTGCAAACACTGTGAACATTAATGGTATCCCAAACAATATTTAGGAGCAGGGAAAGGCAAATGCCCCTCTCTTTGCTCCTGAGCCACGACCCCACAGTACTGTCCCAAGGAGGGGAGGCATGTTTTAGTGGCTCAGGTCCCTCAAAAGCTGAAGTGTTGAGCCCATTTTCCCTGGAAGTAGTATGCCTCTCACCTTGGTCTTCTGTGTATCCAAATCCTGGGAATTCCAGAGGCTTTGGATTCAGGCACATTGTTTGGATAACATTGTTATAGCTCAGAGCCTGCCCGTGCTTAGGGCACTGAAAGTCTGTGCAGAAGGAAGAGGCAAAAGCAGGAGACAGCTGCTCTTTACAGAGCTCCAGCTGGTCCTGGAGCTGTTATTTTGACCACCACTGACGTGACTGACCCTGATGGATATATGGCATTGGATAGAGCGCGTTGCAAATTTTTTTGTTCTGGCAGCTCCCTGGGTTTTTTTGGGAATTGCTTATTGTTATAGCATGAGTGTCAATTACTTATTTGCAAATGTCTGGTACCAATAAACTCTGCTCTTTGCAGTACCAGCTTACAGCTTGATTTAGAAGTGGTTTTCTGCCTGCCAACTTCCTGAAGCAGAGGAAATAATCCTTTAGAGGAAACTAAGATTTGAATAAGAACAGGGGTGGGTTTTGTTTAATTTTTTTTTCCTTGTTAAAAAAAATATTTAGAAAAAAAGAAGAAAACACCATTAACACACAAAGATTTATTGACACAAATATTAGTTTTAGGGTCTTTAGCAAAGCTTGTACTGTAATTCTCCACTGTTTTTATCAGTTGGCTGAAGAATAGTTACGAAATCAGAAATGTATACCAGTGTGGTTGCTGTGGTATGGTTCCAATTTTCTATTCCTCATAAGCTATTTATTTCTGAGAGTATCTTATTCAGCAATATTCACTCAAACTTGCAAATTTTTTGTTTTAAAAATCAAGTATTAAACATTCAATTATTCAGTACAATTTTAATCATAGGACTCACAAGTATTGTTTCTTTCCTTAGTGAAGGTAATTTTTAATTGAGCCATCCAAGCATATAGATACATTGAAAAGTACTGAATGACATAATGAGTTCCAGAAGAAATTTGCCAGGAATTTTGGAATTCAGCACTCTAATGAATCCAATGACCACCCAAAGCTTTAGAAAAATCCACCTCAAAGTTTTTTGGGCAATGTCTTTTTGTCAATATCTGAGCAGTTTTGGATATTGCAACAGTGCTTAAAAGAAAATCCTAATGTATGTGCTCCCAAAGGGCAGTCAAGAAATATTTTTGAAGTTCAGAAGAGGGTGCTAACTGTCCTTGCCAATGCAGCACACTGATAGCTGGTAATACTGTACATTTGGAGACCTATTGGATTAAACTATTGGCCTTTTTAATTACTTGAAAGCCAGTGCTCTTTATCCTGGAGCTTCCTTCCAATCTGTGTAGAGATCAATGGTTATGGAGGGAATGTTCTGCATGTCATAGATAATTTCATTAGATGAATAGAAGTAGAAATTTCATTAGAAATTCATCAGGATGGCTGTAAACACCCTGGAGCAAAAGGCCTTCCCTCTGCTACCACAACTTCCAGTGAGAACTCAAAATGTATCAAAACCTATGAATTCATCAGATTAATTTTGATTTCTGTGCATCTCTGGATTTTGCGTTTTGGCGGAGTCAGATGTGAAAATGCCAAAATACAATTTTCATACTGTCTCCAGCCTGACAACATTTAGAATCTCACAATAATAAGCGCCATTGCAGAACTTGTTTTCATGAGATTTGTAGCTCAAAACACAGATCCAGAATGTTCAGAAGCTTTGAGTAGAATACAGAATTCCTTATATTTATTCAATTACCAACTCTGAAACTTGTTGAGATTCCCATGTTAAAAGATCTTGTAGAAATGTATTCTTATGTGATTGAATACCATATTGTGCAATGCATGAAGTACATACTCAAAAAGCAGAAAAGATCAAATTAAGAAACTTTCTTTCCACATCTGATGCTGAAAACTAAGTGACTCATGACAGAGTACAATTATTCAGCCCTCAGCTTGTATTGTACAGGGACTATATTAACGATTCAAACCAAAAATAGAGAAGTGGAGAAGTGTGTTAGCACAACTCACCTGAATGCTAGAGTGGCACCAAAACTGTATTATTATATATAATATAAAAATAAAAATAAATATATAACTATATAAATATAAAAATACCTATGTAATAACTAATCTTCATGCACCCCACACTAACTAATCATTGCACTGCAGTATACCTGTCAACATTTACAGCAACAGGACTTCACCCATGTGAAAATTACTTATTGAAAATATTTGGTTGTCAACAGGCAATTCCCATCATGGTGCCATAAACCTGTCCATGCAGTTTGTGTGTTGACAGTCATTACTATCATTAGTGAAAACATCTCTAATTATGCAATCAGGAAGACACTCATATGAAGAAATGGTGCTTTGCATGCATTCATTTTAACAAAAGTTGAAATTACTTACCTATAATCTGAGTCAACTTCCTTGGTGCTGCCTTTCCCATCTGGATGAAGAGGTACATTTTTACATGACCAAACATATTTAATGAGCTTCTCAGCTGTGTTATCAGAGAAATTTTACATGTCCTAAAAACAACACAGGAAATTAGTTTTCATCTATGAGTTCAAATCAAGTTATATTTTTAATTATACATTAACATATCTGCATTTTTTAAAAAAGATTAACTGTTCTAATTTTCAGACTGTTTCATGTTTATTCCACTTCTAACCCAGTTTCAGAATTTAAATTTAAATCAAAGAAATTGCATGGAATGTAGAAGTAAGCAGAACTGAATGATCATTTTTAATTTCTACTGAACACTAAATATAATCAAGTAGACAAACTGTCAGGAAAATATGAGATGAAGCCTGCAACAACTTGAAATAAATGCTGGAATTCCTGTTTATTTCAATGCATTCTGAGTGTTTCCTTAAATACATGTCTGATACACAAACATTTAGAGTATATAGAGGCTGATTTAGCAATGATTCCCTCCCTCAGTCATCAGGAGTAACAACATTACAGGAACAGAAAATAATTGCAGGAGAAGATTCATGGAGGAGAATAAGGAGGTTTGGTTCAAGGGTTGATGGTTTATTGACATTTTAGACAGAAAATTACTGTGAAGATGATGATGAAATGCTATAAAGTAATGAGAGGTTGAAAGAAGTAACCTGATGCAATAGTTAAAAATTCTTCACGTTAGAAAGAAGCAGTATGTCATCATAATACTCATGTGCATTATGAGATACTTTATTTTACCTGCTTAGCCCATTTAAACAGTCAAGAATACTGTTCTAAAGCACAGCTCACACATGATATCAAATAATATTTCCCTCAAAGTCATTTCAGTTGAAATCACTGAGATAGAAGGTGGCTTGTTTCATGTTTAAATACATCTGTTTTATCCCCATTTGGTTTAAACTGGATTTGTTTTTTTCTGTCTGGGTGAAGAAGACACATCTAGCCACTCACATTTCAATTAATCTAGGGAAATTGGTGAGACTATTGAAACATGCACAGAAACTGCTAAAGTGATCAAGAGGTCAAATCAGCTTCATTGACACTTAAATTAGTAACTGTGGAGACACTCAAGTACTGTAGTTTAAAGGTCATCAGAACTAGAACTTGTGGCAAAATCTATGGAAAATAATTTTTTACACTTTTACTGCTTCCATTTGAGGCTGGAAAGCGGGATTTTTATGAGGGATTTTTATTTTTGAATAGCTCTAGATAAAAATTCCTTTTGAGTATTCCTTCCCACTCTGGGACCTCAACATAAGGAGCACATGGACTTGCTGGAGTGAGTCCAGTGGAGGTCATGAAAATGCTCAGAGGGTTGGAGCACCTCTCCTCTGCAGACAGGTTGGGAGTGCTGGAATTGTTTAGCCTGGAGAAGAGAAGGTTCTGGAGAGACCTTACAGCACCTTCCAGTGTCTGAAGGGGGCCTACAGGAAAGCTGGAGAGGGACATATTACAAGGGCATGTAGTGATAGGACAAGGGAGAATGGCTTTAAACTGAAAGAGGGCAGGTTTAGTTTAGATATTAGGAAGAAAGCCCTTCTTATGAGGCTGGTGAAGCACTGGAATGGTTTGCCCAGAGAAGCTGTGGATGCCCCATCCCTGGAGGTGTTCAATATCAGCTTGGATAGGGCTTTGAGCAACCAGAATTCATGGAAGTGTCCTTGCCTGTGGCTGGGGAGCTCAAACTAGCTGATCTCTAAAGTCCCTTTCAAGCCTATCAATTTTTATTTTTTTTTCCTTAACCAAGTGTTCAATATTGATGTTGCATCTTTTTTTGCAACAAACAACCCACTACAACACTGACATTTAGAAAATTTCCTTAAAGAATAGCAAGAAATGTAGACTCCATGCCTCCTTAAGTCACAGGAATGGTCTCCAGTTCTTAGCAGGGAAATATTAGCAATGAGAAATTAATTGTAACTTCCCTTCTGTTTGATATAAGAATTGGAAAACATATTTTCTCTAGAAAAACTAGTTTGGATTATGCCTGGGAACATTAGTGAATAAGTTTACTAGAAGACTTTTGTATAATGAGTTAACAATAAAAATAACAAAAACAACAACATAATAACAGCAATAATAATATTTTTCTAGTTTTCTAGAAGATTTTACTACATTTTAAAATATGTTAATTTTAAGCCTTAAAAATGTACAGGACTTAATAAAGGATTTAGCCAAAGAGAAGACCTGGCACAGGATTCCTTCCAGCAAATTTTAACTGTCTGAAGGTTAAGCGACATAACAAGATTATACAGACTAGAGACAGTGAAAAAAATAATCCACCTGCCCCATGTCAGAGCCTGCTTCTGTAGAAGACTGCCTGGTGCTTGGTACTTGCCTCTGTTTCTCCACTGAGCAGAGGGAGAGCTTCAACACTGAGTTCATACCACACCTGTAGCTTTCAGATGAGTAAGGAACAGAGAATATGAATTGTACCCTTTGTGCATAGGAGGGAAAGGTTTAAGCAGTGTATGCACAGCAGGAGGAGTGGGTCAAATACTGCCTAAGATCAATGTTTGAAGATCTATCACTATCTATATTTTAACCTTCCTATAGCTCACATTAGCATGGTGCAGTTTTTGCACCTAATGAATATTTTATAAACTGCCTCTCATTGCATCTGGTTCTTGATCTGTTCTTCAAACCTGTAACAGAGTGCAGGGCTGCCTTGACCCTCCAAGGACATCTGTGACACCCTCCTGAGCATCCCTCCCTCCTGGATCTGCCTGATGATGCCCCCCTCACAAACTAATCATCAAATTTTCAGCCAGAGTTTTGCCTCTCATTAAACCCTTGTTTCTGGAAGACATTCCCCGTAGACACCAGGACATCCACAGGTGTCTTTGACATCAGCTGAACCACCAGCATGGCCTGTTGTTTTGTTTTTCTTATTCCCCCACCAGTCTGCAGCCATATCTCTGAAGTCTAAACCCTTTGGTGTTGGGGCTGAATTTTTCTTCTGTGTTTGTACTTAGCACAAGAGCATACAAATTCACATACAAAATCTATTGCCATCCTTATTTTTACTACTATATATATATACATTTACTACAAATTTCAGATGGGATTATTCTGTTAACAATTCTTAGAGCCAAATGAATACACAGCATTGTCCTGCCTCACACTACAATTTTCAAGTTGTTTCATGACCCCCCACCATGTTCAGAGACATAAGTGTAGGAAGTATGCCTGTTGTCAGTAAGCGGAAAAAAAATTAGGAGTTTTCAAACCAAAAAAGGCGAGAAATTTATTGTTAAAAAAAAAAAAAGGGAAACTTCATACTCTGCATAAAGGTGATCCTAATACAAGCTCTGGGAAGCTTTTCAGTAAGAATGTGAATCAAGCTGTGGCTATCCTCTAAGACATGCTGCAAACACAAGCAAACTGATGGCAGTTCCTCAGTGTCTTCTCACAGGGAGGTAGAATTGCTGGTTCTGCATCTGAACGTTTCCATCTACAAGAAAAACACTTTAAAGTATCTTGCCATCACACTTGATATCATGCTAACTGCAGAAACTCTTACTATCTGCTGTTCCCATCCCATGAAAAACATGACTTCACTATACTGGGATTACAAACTTCTCCTCAAGCAATGTGGTAATTTAAATTCCATTTCCCATATGGACAAGGCAAACAAGCTGTAGATGGACCTTCCAGCTATTCTTTCTTTTTAATAACTGATGCATGATGGTCATATGCTAAACTCATTTGTCAATCTTGTTTTTTTATCTATTGCCTGGAAAATACAGCAACTTAACCCTGGACGGATGGAAGGGAGACTTGAGGGCCATGAATTAAAAACAGCTTGCTTGGAGGAGTGAGGACAGGTGCCGGCTTTGGCCAGCTGAGCAGGTGGAGGAGCTGCTTGTGAGCAGCAAGGGTCCAGACAGACCCACTGATTAGGAGGGTGATAAGAACATGGCACTTTGTTGAGGCAGTCTCAAACCCCGTAACCTCTCACCTGAAGCACCCTGGTCAGAGCCCAGCCATGTCCAGGGAGCTCCACCTTGTCCTGGTGATGTGCTGGTGAAGGCTCTGCACACCCAGCGCTCACTGGGCTTGGACCTATTCCCAGAGACGTCGAGTTCTGTGCTTTGGTCCAACTGGCAGTCTCAGTTTTGCTCTAATGAGACCCAAGGTGGAAATGAGCTGGAGAGGTGCATTCCTGCTTTCCTCCTGACAAGTGCCTCTCAGGGGAGCTGCTTGCACACTGCTGTGGCCATGCCAGCTGTGCCATCAGCTCATGCCACCCTAGGACGAGAGAAATGACACAACCTGGCCACCACACAGCACATGGGGAGGGGTCTCCTCAGGAAAGGAAGAAGCCATGTGCACCTGTGGTTTTATTAGGAAAAAAAAAAAGCAAGCCTTAAGGACCATACTTCTATATAATTTAAAAAAATTTCAACCTCTTTTAAATGTTTTCAAACACTGACATCATGTTTCTAACAAAAAATAGTGTAGTTCTACTTGTATTAGTTTTATCCCTCAGGGACCCTCAGGGACCTTTTTCTTGTATTTCATCACATCTGAGCTAGGAAAACCAAGGACAAATTTAAAAAATCTGTATTTGGAGATACAAATTGGGAACTGGATTTGACTGGTGAAAGACAGACACTTTAACACAATATGTAAAAATTGGTTTGGAATATACTAGACAATAAACAGGGTGAAGAAAGATATTTACACTACTTAGCTGTTCTAAAGCAAGGCATGTTCTCAGCCAGAGTTTAAAAACACAGATCCAACAATTTAATTTATGTATTTTGAGCTTAATAAAAAAGGCTTAAGCTTTTAAATTACTTTAATATATAAAAAATTTCACGGGCCAGATTTCTACTGCAGGTTTTTTTGTATATGGAGTAAGTTGAACTAAACTTGTCTCTGAATGAGATCACATTTAAAATGGTTATAGTGATTTAATTGAATTTACAATTCTAGGAAAAAAACCCAAACTTTCCAGTGCTTGTTGCTACAAGGTA